GAATTGACAGGATGGCCTCATAGAGTTGGCAAATGAGCAGATGGCACTGAGTGCTGGGTGGGGTGGGAGCAAACGAAGGTCTTGGAAGTGAATTTGCTCAAGTTGGATATTTAATGAAAGAGCCCAAGGATGGAAATAGGATAGAGGGTGGCAATCAGACCAGACCAGCTGTGTAGGCAATGGTTTTTCAGCAGCATGAGTTTGGGACTCAGCTGGGTTAAGTTTCATTTTTCACAGTCAAAAATACAGAAGGTATGGAAAAACAACCGAACTATGAGAAGATTAGAAGATGAGGGCATCACTGCAGTTGTGTGGATTATCAGAAAAGAGATGTAACCAGGAAAGTGTTATCAAGATTTAATGTGCGATGTGATTGGGAGAGCCCACAGAGAGGGGAGAGTTGAAGAAGCTAGTCAAGCTCAGCAGGGACCTTAGCAGGCACATAAAAAGTAGACTTCTAATTTATAAGTTGCACTGGGGCTGACCCTTACTGTGGAAGGCCTTTACTGCTGTGTTGATGAGGAGTTTCAAGGAAGGAGGCCAGCTTGTCTCTGAAAATCCCTCTGCGTCCTTTCTGGAAGGACGTGGAGCTTCTCGCACGGATCCACATGGAGGATGTCTGTTTGCCTGCTCCTTTGCTCTCCTTTGAGAACTCAGCTCCTATCTTGTGTTTGGGCATCCTATTTACACAGGGAACCAAGAAAGAGAAAGCAGCAGGTGAGAGACGTGGCAAGCATGTGTAGATGAAGGAGTTTGATCCTGATAGACAACCATGCTTCCCTCAGACCAGATTTTGGTTTCCAGCAGAATGCAGAAAGGCAATGCTTGAAGAAAGGGGATCCAGGTAAGTGCACGTAACCCCGCGCCGTGCGGACCACCTTCCTCACAGCGCTGCTCTGGAGGCGCCCAGGGCGCTCGTGTGCGGCCGCAGCACTCGCGCCTGCTCGGGCAACACCAACTTTCCTCTTCTCGCCCCTAGATGGGAGCGTGGAGCAGGACAGGATGAGGTTTTGCCGCATGGCCACAGTGGGAAAGGTCTGTGGTGATAATTCTCCTCGCAGCATCTCCCATCAGACATGGCATTGGTGTCTCCTGCTGCTTGGGAAATGCGCTGCTGTGAAATCGCCTCCCAGCTGTAACTCTGGAAACATTTGGTCTCACTGATGGTCGTAGGCATGGATCCATGCATTTGTCTTTTTCTGCACGCCATTCCCTCTAGTACTTCAGGAAGAAATGTACCTGAAGTTACAGGCTCAGGAGCATATGCATAAATTGCTATCAGGCATCATCCTGGAACGCCATTGAATACCATTTCTGGGAACATTTATTCAAAAATGGCTTTGCCTTTTGCACGCTTCAGCCTTAGTAATTTTAAGCGGTTTTCCTGACAGAGCCAGGGTGATGATATAACATGACCAAATGCCTGTGCCAGGATAAATGGCTCAGACTCCCTACAAATGAATCTGAGCCCAGCATCTGACACTTTGCAGCTTGGGAGCACGGCCGTACAGAAATCCTTCACTGCTTTGCATAATATGGTTGGTGAGAGCAGGTTATTCTATTCATAATAATTTAAAACTTACGTCAACTATAAAATCATTGGTGCCATTCATGGTAAAGAGACTACTACGATGATCTAAGGCTGGTAGGAAATGCTGAGTATTTGCACCATCTCACTGTGCTGCTTGGCCTCTACCAGTTCCTGAAATCTCCACTGCTTTGAATTATTAGTGGATTTTTGGATATCGTGTTTCCTTAGCTCCGATGCGCTGGCCTTTTGGAGAGCGGCCAGATGCCGCAGGACAAGCACTATTCCTGACGGATGGATGTAGCACTATGCGTGTGCCCAGCGGAAGCACTGCGAGGCATCCAGGAAGGCTACGAGCCCCTCCACCCCAGGGACAATAAATTCTTTACACAAATGTTGTTCTTGGCAACTGTCACTAAGGCCAATTCAGACCCATGAGATGAGGCTCCAAGATGAAGAGTGAAAATCCATCTAGCACCTGATGACAGGTTCTAGTATGTCCGTGTCCAATCCATCAGCTAGTGGGAGACAGTGCCATGATTTATCAGGACTAGAATTTCAGCTAAAACATTGCAGATTTAAAACATTAATTAAAGGTATATTCCAATAAACAAACCTCCAGGCATTTTATCAGCTGCATTATGTATAACAAAATCTTGAAGGTTTTATACTTCCTATAATTTACAGAATTTTCTGATTGGGTATCTTATTGTTTGAAGAGTTGCTTGATCTCAGGAACTACCATTTAAATAAGTGTTTTTCTGCATCATGCATACATCTTTTGCTTGGTACTCTTACATGGTGGGCCTGCCTGTTTTTTATAACTTGTCTCTTTGGTACCTATTTTTACTGTGTGCCATATTACACAACGTGCAAAATAGTCGAATAGCTAAGACTGGGATTCCAAGCTACACATCAAATGTTATCGATGACTTGATCCCACTCACAGCAGTGTGTGGGAACAGTGAGAATGACATAGAAACAAATGAACCCCAACCTCTCCTCCCACACTTAACGCCTGGCAAAAACCACAGACACCATGAAGCCTGCGGCAGTCACCAGGAAGCCTTTTTGTCCTTGATGAGACCGAGCATTTGCAGAGAGAGACATTCAGTCTAGTGCACTTCTTTAACTCACACTTCCAGCCTGGCAAGAGGACACACAATTAATACTGTGCAGCTTGGTATTTTATTTGGCTGTAGATAGTCTGTTTTTCCCTTGTGGAATACTGTTTGGATCAGTGATAGAGCAAGTGGCTTCGTGACCTTAGTGTCAAAGCCATGTCTTTCCTGCTTGCACTTTAGGTAGCTGACACTAATACGGAAACGGCAACAAAATCCTGTATGCGCAGGGAATCGCTGAAGGAAAAAGAAGTTATTCATTAAAACCTGTGCTTTTTTGAAGAAGAGGGATGGACTAATTTTTATTCTAATCAAAATAAAATTCTCCACAGGTAGTATTCATTATGGTCTTGGGGAGACTGCTCTTGCAAGAGAAAAGAATATATTCTGAATGTGGCAAAACTTCCCATTTGGATACATACACTTAAGGGTATGGGACTGCTCTGAATGTCTAAACCATATATATGTATATGTATGTATATTTAATATTACCAACAGAAATGCTTTTAAAACAAACCACCTGACTTACAAGGGAGCTCTGTGCTTCTTGCCGGTGCCCAGCCCGGCCCTGTTTGCAGCCAGGAAGCTCAGGGAATAGAGAGGTGTGAAATACCCGGAGTCGCTACATGGCTGAGCCCAAATCTAACCACCAACCGCCAAACAGCCAGCTCTGCTCAGCCCAAGGTGCTCTTCCTTTTCCCGCTTCAGCTGCATCTCAAGGACTTCCTACCCTTATGTGGATTATGTGGGCGACAGGGGTTGGTCACACAGGTGCCTGGAAAGCAGGACTGGAAGAACTGCCAACGTGGTAACCACCCCGAGCAAAACCTGCCAGAGGTGCAGGGGCCAACGGGGCATCGGGGTGCGCACGTGAACCCGAGCGGCACCAGCGTGACAGGAGGGGGCCCAGCCGCCTTCCCCACCAGGGCTTAATATTAACTCCCCGCGTGGCTTGCAAGGTAATGCCTAAGGCTTATGGCTCTGCTGTAAGCAGTGGCACTGTCTCAAAAATCACCCGTATAAAAATAGTTTGTCTCAGAATTCTTATAAAATAATGATTTGACGGATAAAAATCTTACGTCTCAGCTGCCGGCTGAAGTGCTGTCAGACAGTTTCTCTTCTGCAACATTACCAGTAAAACAAGCTAACTAGCAAAACCACGTTATCTTTGTTGCTTCATTGCTCTCCCATATTCAGGCAGCCTGTAATACGCAGCGTCCACGATGCCTGACGGAGCAAACGCACCCGGAAATCTGCCCCTCAGCCTGTGCCTGCACACGCACCCCAACCAGCTCACAAGCAGCAGGGATGTGTAAAACCGGGCAGCAGGATTTTGAATGAGTAGTGTTATTTCTCTTTGAAATACAGTGTCTTCTAAAGCAGTTTTAGGCGGAGGGATGTGAAAAGCAAGTGAATGAAAATTGAATGTATATATTAAAAAAACTCTCACAATATACAAATACAACATACAAATACAAATCTTGTCAAGCTAAAAAATACGTACCTAAAATTGGAACATCTGAACAAACACATGCAAACTTGGTTGTTACCAAAGAAGAAAATCCTTTGGGAACTGCCTTATAGGCAAGTACTTAAGAGGAGAGTGCTTATAAGTATAGCTAGCAGGCCCTCTTAAAAAGCACATGCAGCAAGCTCTGCAGAATGCAAAGGAGAAGGGAAAAAAAAAAAAAAAAAAAGGATGTTACTACCAAAAAAAAATCCAAATCAAACTAAAAAAAACCCAGAACTTACTTCTTTGTGTTAGTGTGATAGCAGTGGCACATCAAGAAACTACAACTTGTAAGAACAGGGCACGAGTGCAGTTATTGGAGTGCAAATGGCCCCATGCACGCCAGGAACAGGCGGGTTCAGCTGACATGCAGCTCTCATTGCCATCAGTCACCTCCGTTGTCTGCAGAGGGCACTTGGGATCCCGCTTCACTGGCCCAGCCGACAATTTGCAAAATCACTGGTCGATTCACGCAGCCAAGCTGCAATGCTACGCTCAGCTTCCATCAATTCCGGTCATACGGTGTGTGCCACGCATTGTAAAGTCTATTTAAAATCCTGACTTTTCTGTAGCCTGTAGCATTTTGCCTTAAAATGTTCAAAGGATAGTTCAGCTTCAGAGGAAATCAAACAGCCAAAATTTTTAAACCTAGCTTGGAGTCCCAGGCTGATCCGGCCTCTAGACCCAGAGCACCCACTAGGTGTTTCTGTGAGGTAGCCCAAGGCAACTTGCTGCTCCACCTTCTCATTACCGAGAAAGACCACGGGGAAAGCTGACTGCAGAACTATGAACGACTTGTTCAAAATTGCCGCTGGAAGTACCATGTCTAAACAAAATATCCAGATACAACGTAATACGATTCTTTATTTTTAAATCCAATTTGTAAAGGTCCCTTTGTAAACAAAACAAGAAAAAATCAACACATTTCAGAGGGCTTATCTCAATTACCGTTTTCTTCCCCACTCTTCATTTATCGTAACACAAAGCAGTAGCTTATATTATTAGTGCTCATATAGTGCACGTACATGAAGTTTGATTTGTGTATTAAGCTTTAAATACAATGTATTTCCTGTGAGCATAGCGCAAAGACTACACAGCATTACATTTTCAAAGCATATGTTTAAAAAAAAAAAAAAAAAAGGAACAATAAATGTATATCAAAGACAGTCAAACTCAAATATCTTGACCTGGCAAATTCTCTAACAAGTAATTTAAAACTGCGTACAGAGCAGAACAGTGCGAACATGCCTCCAGTCTGTGAGCTATGGTAAAATATCAAGCATTCACATAAAGAAGAGAAGCAAAATAAAAACGCCACAAACCCAGAACTAACCTCAACGCACCCAACTGTAACTGAACGAACGAGGCCACCCACTTTCCCACTCGATAACGCAAAGGGCCCAGCAACAACAACAAGCACTTCTACGCTACAGCAAGTGAAACATCAACTTCGATTTTTGTCCTTGCATTTTTAAACAACTCCTTCGAAACAAACCGAAACGGTGAACACCTAATTATACCGAACAGAGGTACAAATCAGAAAGTCAGAGAAGCTCCGTAAGATTGCCACTTTTCAAACCTTGCATAGTGACAGCTGGCATTGATATTGCTACCATAGCTTCAGCAGAGAGATGAGAAAGGAAAATCTTCACTCCAGAGGGATGCACATGTGTAACATACAGCTCGTTTTCGTCACAAAACGCGGTTAATCACTTCAGTAAAAGGGAAAACAGTTCTAAAAAGGGAAAGATAGTGTTCACAAGCTTAGAAATAAAAAAATACAAAACCAGAACATTCCATAATAAAAAAATGAAAATAATAAACATTCCATCGTAACAGCACCTATTTTATCACTAAATAAGCCCCATACATGCAACAATCTACAACTATCGTATAAGGCTGTCAAATTAAAGGTTTACTTTTTATATAAACAAAGTGTAAAAATAGCAATAAGTTGCAATCTTCAAATTTAATGCTAGGTGGGGATTCTGTCCCCCCGGATTCTTTTGGTAGCAATTTCAATATGCTCTTGCCATAAAGGTCATTGATCTAGGTACCATGATACAAATACATTGTGCCTAAGACAGTATTATCGTATTTCTGCTCCACTTTAACAGAATTGGAATGCTCCACAGCATTACTGAGCTCAGGGATGCTCTCAGCAGTATCCCCAAAGCCATGATAGTGTCCATAGTGCAAAGTATCTCCCAGGTCTTCCACCCACGAGGGCCGGTTGGACACACAGCTGCTCGGGCTCCCGTTCAGGTGCAGAGAGCCACACATCTCCGTGGAACCGCTCAGGGCTTTTTCGGGTTCCTCGGTGCCACTGCTGGCATGAACTCGATGCCGGCTGGGAGAGGCTACGCCAGGAATTATTCCATTGGGTGTCAAGCTTCCTTCCTGCCTGTTCTCCATTCCACTGAGCTGTTGTGCAGCGGTGAGGTCCAAATGTCCATTGGCGGCGCATCCATTTGTCAGTGCATTCAATATGGAGCTACTGCTACTGATATCTGCATTAAGAAATACACCTGTCACCAAAAATCAAGGTTCAAGCAAAATACATCCAAATGTCCCCACTAAGCTCCACTTACTTTAAAAATGCCTCCATATACAGCCTTGAAAACAAATCTACCCTTTCTTTATTCATAACAATTCAAAGTAATGAAATCTGATCAGCAAGCTTCAAGCATAGATTCTCATTTTGCAAATGTAACTATCTATCTACATTCACTGTGTAAATAAGCCCATATTAATCTTTCCAAAGACAATGTAACTCTTCAGAAAGTGTTTTATTGAACTGCAGGAAATAAGTGCAGGGTAGTAGACAGCATTCTAAGTGTTTTGAAAAGTGGAATAAAAGACATCTTTCCATCTTAACAGTAATGCCCACTTGGGATGAAGTATTATACATGGAGAGGAACTTAGCATCCGTGAAACGATGAAGGATTTTTAAAATTTCAGTCATAACTAAAATGTGGTTCTTTTTTCCTTTCTTGTGGTAACTCACAGAGCACAGTATACACTGAAACAGGTCAAATAAACACATGTTTATATTCGAGTGCTAATATAAAATATGTTTCAAGTTTCTTTTATTCAGAAAGAATCTCAATTTACCTAGCAGCCCGTTAGATAATAATATCTGCTAGATACGTAGCAGCCAGCTAGATAAGATAATAATATTGTAATAACATCTGTACAATCCACGTGCAAAATGCCATATACAATAGCAACAGCAGAATGCACAGAAGACTAAAAAAGATTAGTAGCAGGATACAAAATGCAAAAAAGATGCATGCAAAAAACACTGAAAACTGTTTTAAAGCAATTTCTCTTTTGAATTTAGTAATTATTATAATGTTTTTATTTCCATAAACGGATTTCATCAGTATGTCTGAAAGGTGCGTTTCTGCAGTGATACTCAAAGCACTAGCACAAAAAAAGGATGATAGATTCTGTCTTAAAATTACTGAGTGGTAAAGGCCATCTAAAATTTACATTTATATTGGTAAAGATTAGTAAGGCAAACCTAGAAACTCTGGGCCTACATGGTGACATTTAGGTTTTACATTCTGTTATTATCCCTGCATATATGCACATATGTTTATGTACACATGAAAGCATAAACCTATGTGCAAAACAGAATTGTATTTACTGTTTTATTTACAATTCAGGCCGGCGAATAAGTCTGTTGGTACCATGCCACACAAGGAAGAATCCGAAGTTCTTGCTGGACCTTCCTGTTTCATCCCTACTCTAAAGAAACCACATCAAATCAACTCACTAACCACAGATTCTTACTGAAAGTGGAAAAAAAAAAAAAAAACACCCAAACAAACAAGACATCTGCCCGACTATTTCGGTGATGAAAATGAACAGAAAGAATTTCATGTATTTCATTTTATTAACTGAAAAGTGCAAAAACTTAACTGTTTAAAAATAAATTCTTCTTAGGTTGGCTTTGCCAAACCAATTTTAATAAAAATGGCACTCAGTTAATAGGTGAAAGTAGGTAATGAATAGCTCTAGTGATAATTACAGAGTGTTATTATTTGTTAAAAATTAGTACCTAAACTAATACGATATATTTATGAAAGACAATCATTTTTCCATAAACACTTTGCAATTATCACTGGCAAACATCATAATCCACTTTTAAAGCACTGGGTGTACATATATATGTGTATATATATTTATTCCTAATATATTAAAATATCTATTCATTATCATTCCCTTTGGTGAATCTGAAGCATAAACATTTTTTTATCACAGAACAAATTAAAACAAGAGAATCATTTCAAAATGTAATAAAGCACTATCATAGTAACTCCACGCTTGATTGAGCAGCCCTTAAAAAAAGAATTAATATTCACTAATAGTACTAACATTATGACTGTTTCATGAAAATCAGTACAAAATTCAAACACTTCTTTACAAGGTACTTTAGTTCGAAATTCCAATTTTAAGACTTGCAAAATTCAGTCTTTTATTTGCATAAATCAAAATCAGAAGTTGTTCATAGCAGGATACTGCACTTATATTGTTGTCTGAACAAATTCTGAACACCTATATGTCTAGATTACTCTTTATAGCATAAGTTGAACTAATTTGAATATATTTAGTTTTAAGATACATTATTTGCCACTCTATGTAAGCACTAGGATGTTTCCACATTAGATCTTCTTGCTAGCAATTAAATCTATTTAATGGAAATGAAATCACTCATTTAAATTATTCCTGAATTTCCTTTAACCAGAAATAACAGCAACTGAAAACAAGGCACAACGCAATACAAGCCTCAGGTTAAAAATGAAACAGCCATAGTGGATTTCTGCTTATCTGAGAACTACCAATAAGCCTTATCCTTTACTGTTACAATATGTTGAATAAAACAGCTAATTTTAGATAACTACTAAAACCCCAACTAAGGGGTGTTACAGCAATACAATAGTTTTCAAGACTGTAGACAGCGATGTGCAAAAATAAAGAATTAAGTTTTATGCTCAAATTAAAAATAAAATGCATATTGATTCTTGCAACAACAAGGAGTTTGCATGGCAGAAACAGTGTATATTTCAATTTCTTTTGGTCCAACAGAACTACTCTCCTGCTGTTTCGTGTCTTCAACCATTTGAATGTTGTTGCAGTTAACTTGAAACTGTCCACTCCCACCTGATACAACAGCAAACTCTCTATCAACGTGCATATTGTCAGCATCATCCTCAATTCCTCCATTCATCATTGGTATTAAGCCATCAAAGCTATAAGCTGGTAAAAACAAAAACAACAAAAATTGTGTTTAGTCACTACTGTATATTTGAAAACTCAGCCAAACAAAAAAAGTTAAATACTTCTGTTACTATAACAAAACCTTTTTTATAAAGAAATACATATTTTTCAGTTTTGAAAGTTCCAAATATACCCGCACCTGAGATTCTGAATGGGCAAATAAATAGTTGCATGCTCACTTTTTATTCATTTTTGATTTTCATTCATTTTAGGTGGAAAAAATGACCAATTTATCTATCAGACATTGTCTATCAAGCAACTATAAGTCTGATGCACCATGAGAATGAAAAAAAATTACCAGGATGTAGGCTTTACAGCTAGCACACCTGACAAAAAAAAAGAAAAAAGGGCAGCTTCTACCTCAGAAAACACACCCTCGGTCAGTCCTGACTGCTCGCGCTGTCCCTCCAGGTTCCTGTTCCCAATACTGTGCGCTACACTCACCCTCGGCTCTTCCAGGGACCTCAAGATAGGCCTCTCCTCAGATAAAAGCGGGTGGGTGGTTACGCCGCAGTGGGAACTGCCTTCAGGATCGGGATGGATTTGGCTTCGCTGGCTCTCGCACCCTGCGGCCCAGGGCCTCCTCCAGGGGCAGCCCCGCGGAGCCGGCGCGGCCGCGCGCCGCGGCCTCGCGCCTCGCCACACGCACTCGTAGCAGCGCGCTACGGAGCTGCGAGGCGCACGGCAGGGCTCTCACCAGCTGGGACACAGTAAACTGCGAGTTTCTAAAGAAACTTAAGCAGCTGCTGAAGTGCTGTTTCCGGACCAAAGGAATTACACAGGGCTTAAGCCATGTGCCCTCATACCAAGCAGCTTCAAACACCCTCTACCAGGACTTTTCCTGTCGGCCTACAGAAACACGAAGTGCAAGAGTACACCTGGGCTAGGCACCCCCCATCCCACAAACACCTGAAAGTGGCCACATGGAGCCCATGACTACTCATACAGTCTCCTGTTGCATCGAGGAGTATTGCGTGTACTATATACAGGAGACTGCAAACCCCCTGGTGCCAAGGGCCGTGAGGTAGATATTAAGACCAGAACTGCCCTATGTAGCCCTGTGCGATCAGCCTGGTCTGTAGCAGGCTAATGGTGAGAATGCCTCGTATGGATCCTCGTTATACATGACCATAGGCAACACCCTCTGGCAGCCAGTCCACGAATCAAGAATTCCTGGATACCTGATTTTACAAAAAATGGATGGGAATTCCAGCCAGCACGTCCACGTCAAAACTAGAAAATATTTGGTACACATTTTGAATGCGGCTTTGCAACAGCAGCCGCTGCTTATTTTAATTGTGCTTTGGTTCAGCTTCACCTTCAAGGGCTCAGATTTTTATTGAATTGGATGATAATTACTTTGTATCACAGCATATCCTGTATTGGTGTTACATATTTCTTAAGCTTTTTAAAATTATCTAAGAACTTATCTGAGAGCAGATACATATGCATACACATAAGCAACTCTCTTCCCCCTGTTTAGCCACTCCAAAAAGGAGGACAAAAGGTGAAACACAGCTTAAATATTTCTCTTACTCCAACTTGATCGCTTTCAGTCTCATTGCAAGAAGCTATATATATATAGATTTACATACAGTGCCTGGTCCCACTACGTGGACTTTTTTTCAAGGGCGTGATTATACTGAGTTGGTGCAAGGCCATCAGAATCCTATCCTTCCCAGGGAACACTGATAGAGTGCACTCTCCCCATGTTCATTTCCCGAATCTACTGTGCAACTAGTCTTTAAAGTAGAAGACAATTCACTAGCATGCTTTTAAGAACATCATCACCACAAAACAGGGCAGGATTTTCTAAAATGGCTAGGAAAGGACAAGCACAGACTGATGACTTCTCAGAACTCACCTTTGTAGTTTACAAAGCATCTCAAGAAGAGTGATTTACTCTCACTCCAGCAGACTTTTTACATGACATGAGAGATATTACTGATACTGATGCCTTTGAGGGTGGACACAGTTCAGAAACTTTGGCTTAAAACAGTTTGGAACAATCTCTAAAACGTAAAAACTTTCAAGCAACATCTTTTGCTTTGTTTACAAAGGTCATAGAAGTCCTACTGGTAAATAGCTCAAAAATTACCTACTCCAATTGGTTACATATACTGTCCTTTGACACCTCTCTAATTTCTTAGGAGACTTAACATATTCTCTCCGTAATTAAAGGAGAGTATGTTAACATACTCCATAATTGCTCATTCACTTAAACATACTCTCTATACTATCTCGTTTACAGCCCAGTATCATACCTACAGATTTTGGGGAAACACTACCTGTTAACAAGCTTGAAGTCATTTTCTCCAACTATGCAATTAGTGGCCATGAACTCAGAAGGAATAGCTCCACAGAACACAATATGTCTATTTGTGACTTTGAGCTGTGCCTCCTAGTAACAGAATATGAATTGTATGTATTAAAGCCTACAGATCCTCCTACTATCCAGCTACTTAATTGCTTTATTCTTGAAAAACAGTCTTACATTTCATTGCAAATGAACTTTTCTCCATCATGAAATTATTCATGACTTTGACCAATTTCATAAATTAGCAAATCCCATTTAATTCAATATTCCAACCTCCGATGCTGGAATAGTTGGAATGTTGGCTGGAATCTGAGGCATTTTGGTAGTAAGTACTAAAGGAAATAGGAATGACTGTCAATATCCATGTGATTTATATGGTCCACGTCCTATTTGCCAACAGCATTTCACTCTAGTTCCACTCCTGCATCTGGAGCAAAGCACTGGCTGAACTCCCGTGGCTCACTGAAAGTCACTTCTGAATAAGAAGTAATCCGTTAGAACAAAAACTTTGACTGAAGAAAATACCTTCAATGAAGATCTAGAAAGTCCCTTTCCTGACACTGGAGTCAGGACTGAGAGGCCTCAGCACAAATCGTGGCATTCCCTTTAATAAAAATTTATTGGGATGGCCCCATAAGGGGAGCAGAGAATATTATTCTCTCTCATATTACTTAAGGTAGTTCACAAGATTTGAAAAGGATTTCTTTCTATCACCACCAAAAAGTATCTGTAGTGTTGCACTATCTCATTATTGCCAGGAAATGAAGGTCATAGTATATTAAGGCTGACTAGGAATTCTTAACGTTCATTTTAGTCTGACATCATCCTATAATCTCTTAAAGAGTGCTAATGATCCTGGAAATTTGAGGCTTGTTAACATCGTAGACATACAAACCCTTCCAGACTGATAAAGCTTTTCAAGCCAAATTTCTTTCATCTATCTCTTATACCAAGCAGTTTTTGAAATGGAAATTAATCATGATGCGGCAAGTTCCCATCAGAAAATCCAGCTATCTTTGTGAGTTAATGTTACATTATTAGGGTACCATAACACAAAACCGAGGAAGGATTAGAAGCCAATTCCAGCTCCTAATCTTCAGGACATTATCCTTAGCATCGTGCAACTTCAACATTCTCTGGAACTAGAAATCCAGGAAGACACCAAGATGATGACAGGGAGAATCAGGATTTTGTGTATACGTACACTTTTCAAAAGACGGAGTAATTACTTGATGCACTTTAGATATGTGAGTAGGTTTGTCAATAATACTCAACATCCACTCTGAACTGCTTTAAAATGTTTATTTTCCTTTCTCGGCAACAGCATCACCCTTCCCCTTTTACCTCTGGGGTCTCACCTTCGGTTCTAGCCTTCTTTACTCCAGCAGACTCCGTATCTTCAAAGGATCTCTTTCGACTTGTCCCACCACTGAGTGGATTGGGACCCGCACTCTGATGAACCCCATTTAAGGTGCCATTGCTATAGAAACGATTCAGGTGACAGTTCTGGAGGTTCAAGAGAAACTGGGCACATTCTTGGAAGCCCTGGGTATGTGCAAGGTCTGCTGCTGTCAGGCCACTGGCATTTCTCAAGCTGTACAATACAAAGAAACTGAATTACACTCATTCATCAACCTAGCCTGGCTGCTGCTGCTGCTCTTACTGACTAACTATCTGTTGGTGATGAGAGAAAAACATACACTTAGCAAACTTCCATTAAGGAATTAGTTATCAATCTTAGTTTTATAACTAACTTAACTTTTCGCACATACATCTGTCTTCTAAGCAAAATTTGGAAGACAATACACTTTCAAATAAAATCAATATACTAACTATGTGCCTTAAAAAAAAAAAAAAAGCATCTTCCTATTTAAAATTCTCAAAATGCTTTATTCTGAAATAGCCTGAAGTATCTGATCTTTACACAACCTTCAGGCTAATTTAAGCCTTTAATTTTACCATCTTCTGCAGTTTATTTTTCAATCTATTTCTTTATCTTGAGTACAAGATTAAATACTCAAAACAAACTTAACATGACTTGGCAATTGTCCATGGCATTCTGATTTCTAAGGTAACAACATCACTGTTCTTCCCAGCAATAAAATATATACATATATGGAAAAAGATAGATAAAAATGCCATAATTAATTATGCTTTGCTTATACGTGTTTTTGTTTCTCATTTCAAAGTGTGTGACATCATAAACGCTAAGACCTGCTTTATTTGACCCAAGATTTGCCATTTAGAAGAGAAATGGCAGTGGATTTTTAATATTTTAATGTATCAAAGAGATTAAGAACTGAATCAAGTAGGACATTTAGTCTTTCAAAAGAAATCTCTACAGCTCTACTATATCAAAAACATCTACACAGCCATACACAAAGTCTGTGCTTAGGAATATAAACACTGTAATTTCATTAGGAAGAGCATAAAAGAGACAAGAGGGCTAGAAATGACCAAAAAAAAAAAAAAAAAGGAAAACTAGATTACGAATAACAAGATACCAGTAAATCAGATAAATCAGGTTTTCAGTGTTTTATTTCTTCCCCTTTCCAGACTTATCCAGCTAGTCAGAAAATTGGATTTCTGTTTCTTGGCTTCAGCAGTTTAGATGAGCACATTACTTTAAAATCCAGGCACAGACCTACTAACAGAGTAAGAGTTTAGAAGATTATTAGATCAGACTCCACTGCTGAAATGCACATGAAGTGCAGAGGTGCTCCTTCCAACTCGTATGGAGGAAAAGCGCAAAGACTGTTTTTGCTTCCTAGAACACGGCAACTTCATCACTATAAAAGACCCTAAAAAAAGGCTTCATAAATTTACTGTTTTAAATTTACCGGAAGGCTAATTCTCTAAATGGATACAGCTGGACTACGTAGAACTTAGAAGTAGAAATGCTACAGAATTAGAAAATTCATTAACTGGGGAAGATCAATATAATTTCATTCCATACAAGACTATCATGGCCTATTTGGACTACTAGTGAAAATCCAGAGAACAGCAACAAAGATTGGTCTAAAAAGTAAGAATTAAGAAAACAATACGAGCAAATACTCACACTACTGAAGAAACTAAATTTATTCAGTCAAGAGAAGTGAAATGTCACAATTGTGGTGTTATTTTCAAATACTTTAAAATTTAATCTGGAAAGAGACTAAACTCTTGTGTCTGGTGCAGACAACATGTAATGGAATTAACTGAAGCGAAGGACATTTTAAGCTTGACCTTAAGAGGATGTTTCAGAATATAAGGTTAGTTAAGACCGATGAATCTCTAGGGCTTTCCCTCTTTCCTCTACTTTTTAAGAACAGATGATAATTTGACAATTTTTGCAAATGTAGTCAGTCTTTTCTGGTGCTGAACTAGATACGATGTTGAATTCTCTAACCACTATTCAATGCTATTTTTTAGTCTAGTTTATATTTAGAATACAAAGCAACAATGCAACTTTAATAGAAATTTCAGTGTCTTCTTCCTGAACACAGAATAGCTCAGTTTTCTCAAATCTGTTTTCGATTTGCTAATCTCAAAAAGATGGCGAAGGAAATCTAAGTAAGAGCAAATCAAAGTTATGCGAAGATTAAAAGAAGTGTAATATGGTGTTGACTGACCCCCTAATTTAAGCAATCAACAAGGAATAAATCATGCTATTACTCAGCAAATCTTACGGAACATTCTCTGCCTTGAAGAGTGGTCTTCAAGACAGACCACAATGACGCTCTCATTTCTCCCAAAGCCAGGCAGAAATGACTTGCTGGAGGCATTTGGAGATGTACATATTAAGATGCAGTGTGCAATACTACAGGGACACATTCTGTGCAAGGGAAAGTTATCCTCAGCAAAGCTTTAAGCCAGTGCTTGTCAGATACTAAGATGCAATTAAGCTTTAAAACAACATCCTCCCCCCAAAAAAAGGGGGGGGGGGCAAAAAACAAAAGCCCAAACCCAACACACCCTCTACCCTTTCCTCTCTTCCTGACCAGCTTCTCTTTAACAACTAGGCAGACACTCCCTTCCAGAACACATTTTAAGAGTAGTACTGCAGAGATGCTCAATTCTCAAGGGGATTGAGCCTATCAGAGAAAACATTCCTGATTCAGAGGGAGACTCAAAGATATTCTTCAAAAATCTACATCTGAATTTAACTCCTCAGGTCCGAGGAAATTTCCTGTGGCAGAAATTTTGTTATTAGAAAGAGAGATAGAAGCACAACGTTAAATAGGGGTTCACAAGGCAAATGAATACAGATGGTAAACTACTATACCATATATACTACTACATACTCCTATAGATGATCAACAGAACTGTTAAGCGCTGGCTGCTTTCTCTGACGTGAATACTAATCAGAGTGTCTTTTCAATATCCAGCTCTTGATTTCCATGAAATTAATAGAAACTTAGGCTGGTCTGGGATTTCAATCCTTACAAATTTCAACGAAACTGGCTTGCAGAGAAAAGGAAAGGTGGGTAAAGGAAACAACCTCACAAGACTTCCCTAGAAAAGCTTGCTAGAAAACCTGAGACAGTTGTTTGTTCGTTATTTCAGCTGTTTTTTCCCTACCTTTCTTTAGGAGAAAAACAGAAAGTGGCAGCAAGAACTAGCCACACTATACTATCTCGTCCTAACAAACGGCAAGTAATCAAAAAAAAAGCACAACAAACTCGGATTAGCCACATGCACAAAGGGGAGGAACAAAAACACCTCTGGCACACAGTACGCATGTGTTGGCGTGTGCATGTTTTCATGTAAATTCATCAAAAATATTTCCAAAATAAGACATACTACCATCCCTGAGGGCCCTGAGTGAACAGAAAGATTCTATCTTTCTAAGATCTAAGATACTGTCTTCTAGAAGCCCTGAACTGGAGCGGCTGAATGAAATAAAAAGCTGGATGTTTATTACAACCTTCTTTAAAAGCACTGATCTGACCACAGTGCTAAGTTTCAGGCTACCCTTTCACAGCAGCAGTTCCAAGGGACTGGGAACACATCTGTGATTAAATCCTTTCAGGATCTGCAGCGTGTGGTCTACCTCAAACGCCACCAGTACCTGAAAGTAAAGCAGCCAGGCCGGCTCGGTCCCCGAGCTAAGAGCACAAAGGCCACGGCCGTTAACGGACTTCACTGTCGGACGGAGGGAGCAGCAGCTCCCTGCCCTGCGCGGCTCCCAGCGGGAAGTGCCGGCTCCTATAAGGGATCTGGCCACACGCCAGCGCTTGTGCCAAGCAAAACGAAGGCGGCAGTAACGGAAGATTCGTCTGGCTGTTAGGTGGATTATATGATATGTCATGGACTACAAAGGGTAACGTTTTTTAAACCAGCAGGAAAGTCAAGGAGTTAATTAGTACAAGCTAACTTGTCAACTACTAAAGCTATGAGAGATGTCCCTTGAAAGATATTTCTCTTAGTTTTTCATAATTTCTTTTAAAAGAAGTTTTTGATTAGCTAAAGAATACTGTAACAAAAAACAGCCCCAAGACTTGCTGCGAAAAGGAGTGGGAGAAAAATTCTATGTTACCCAAAGTTTCACACAGCTATCAAAAAATATATATATATCTACCACTATAGTTTTTTTTATATGATAAAATCCCTTCCGTGTCAGTTGACATGCGATTTTAAATGTAACCTTGAGATATCTGAAGGTCCAAGGAAGCTAAGAATACACTACTGGATATTAAACCTTAAGGCAAGCTAACCACATAAGCAAATACAATAGCTCAATTTCTGCAACTGTATTGCCCAGAATATATAACTACAATGAGAAATGTCCTGAAAATCCATTAAAAAAATCCTGAAGTTGAGAAAAGGTTATGTTTTCTTTCAGCGTTCTTCTCCAAGTTAGGTTACCTACCTGAAACAGGACTAAGCCAGTAACAACCAACAGACTGAGATTTTTCGAAGAATGATCTGAAAGGGCAGCCAGTAATAAAGATGAGAAAGGATGGAGGAATATTTTATTATAAGAAAAGAGAATTAGGCTAAGCCTTGAGAAGTTAAAAATTTAAGATTAATCAGTCTTCTTTAAGTGGAGAAATTGAAGAAAGTACACTGAAAACTATAGCTCTGATTTTTTTTTTAGCATCTATTCCAAACAGGGTTACACAAATGGTTGAATGGACAAACAAGAGAAAAATCCCTGCCTTCACCTTATTCAAGGTGAAATGCAGTTTTTGTTAAGTCATCAGAAAGTCAATTCACTCTGCACCTAGAAAACACACACCTTGTATCATTTCCAAATCAATTCATATTTTTGAACGAAGGAGTCCTATTAAGATTCTTTTACTTGAGAATATTTTTGTTTTACAGTTTATTCATTATTTCCATGCACTTATTATTACTACAGAGAAATCAGAAGTGTGAAGTGTGTATTTACCCCCATCCTTCTATGTAGGCTAAAATCCAGGAGCTGGGAAAGATAAAGACATATTATTCTCCCTGATATCCTGAAGTATGAGAAGATAATTCCAGAGCAAATGAAAGAGACAAATGTAACTGAAATTATACTTTTTTTTCCTCATTATGAAGTTATTCAAAAACAAATAGTATTAAAAATAAACAACACAGAAAAAGTTCAGAGATGTCTAGATATGA